TATTTATTCCCGGGGTATCACCCAAACCAGGACTAAAACCTTTAGTCCCGGCTGGTATTACCAACCGGGACTAAAGGTTTAATACCAGCCGGGACTAAAGATCCCTACCACGCGGACGACCGTTGGGCAAGGACCATTACGAACCGGGACTAAAGGGTCCTTTAGTCCCAGCGGCAAAAAATACCGAGGCTAATGCTAAATTAGGACATCGTTCTAAAGTCTGTTCTCTAGTAGTGAGCTCTCCTCCACTGCTGTCTGCAGTTGTTGGGTCATTGAGTAACTGCTCTGATTTCAAGTATATATTATTCATCAGTCGTTATGCGTGGTTGTACTCAGAGAATCTTCTTCTTTGTTTCCTACTGTATACGAAAACCCATTGATAGAACTAAACAATGTACTACTAGTTTGTCGCGGCTGACGAAACTTGTCCAGCAAATTGAGGTGGGTGCTTTAAATTATCTTCCGTAATGGAACGGAAGAGTTAGGTAATTTAGATGTAGGCTTAGGGGTTTGCTTTATGTTTTTTATTGGGTAAAGTATATTTTTTAACATTCAACTCGCAACACAGTCCAATTTTTAACCTTTAAATATAAAACCGGCTAACTCACACCTTCTACAGCCGAGACAAGTAGCTCTTATGTGCAAGGATGACATACAACAATTTCAATTGGCAAAGAGACCGGCAAGCGGTGGAGAGTAGAATCTTTCTTTTCTGGGAGTCAGTTGCTTCTCAGTGGTCCATGTTTGGTAGTAGTAGTCTAGTAGTGAAGTTATTGTTTTTCTGGTCGAAGCCTTCGGGTGGCGTCCCTTATGACCATAGTTCGAATCCTTGGTTAGGTGAATTTTTAGTCGGTGTAGAAAAAAAAACTCTCACCTGCCCCACGATCCCAAAGCGAATTTCTGGTCGTCGGTGTGGAGAAAAATCCCCTCGTCTGTCCCGTGTTCCCAAAGCACAGGTAAAATGGACTGGTCCTCTCACCGGGTCAGGTGGGGCATGAGGTTTTCTCAGGCTGGGTGGGAAGTCCTTTACCTTATTAAGCTAAAATAGCTCGGGGGTGTCTACCCCCGCAGCCCGAAATTTTTTTTTCAGGCCCACGCGCCATAGTAGCTCGGAGTTCATACTCTTTCTTTTCTTTGTTTTTTCTGTTACTTTTCTTTTTATCGTCTAATAAAATCTCGCCAAAGCTCTTGTTGCCTTTCTAAAAAAACTGTCGAAACCGAATAAATTTGGTCATTTGGTTCGTTTTAAAAATAGTTTTAATTTTCTAAAAATGATTAAAAAAAAGGTTAATCTCTAAGATTTCATAATTAATTTATCTTAAATAATAAAAATATGAAAGTAGTTCTAATTTTCTTTTAAAAATGTTATATGTTTGTTGACGCTATATTTAGAGTTGTTTGGATCTTACTTATTTTAGATAAATAACGAGTGCGACTACGAGCAATAAAGCAATAGGTACAAAAACAAACCAATTTCAAATACCTATATATAGATCATGAACAAGCAGAGAACATTTTTAGGAAAAAAAATGGTACTAGTTTCACATCGTCACATGTAGCAGCCAGCAGCCTGTGATTGTGGCTCTGGTTTGCAGCTGCAGGTGCTGTTCTCTCATCTTCCTCACGCGATCGCTGCCCGCCGTCCGGGTCTAACATGTCACCGATGAGGTTAGCTACAATGTCAAGAAACTTTAATTAAAGCATCGGCTTCAGCATTCTTTTTGATTTGCTTCTACCACTGCACTCTGCACACGGTGACACAATACAAGTCCAAATGCGACAACGTGCGTGATCGAGTGTGGGTTCCACGGTGAGAGAAAGCACGTCAAGGTTAGGTGCAGGGAAGGTAAAACGGCAATAAATGTTTGGTTACCCTAACGCAGACTTGAGCCATTGGCTGCCACCATGCAGGCAAGGCAAGGCAGGCAGAATCTGCAGTCTCCGGATGATGATGATGGTAAGGGACTACTGGTTGTTGAAGGGCCTAAGTTTAGGACTTGTTTAGATTAAGTTTTTTCACTCTCTCTTCATCATATCAAATCTTTGGACATATGTATGGAGTATTAAATATAGATAAAAAAATAACTAATTACACAGTTTGATTGTAAATTACGAGACGAATCTTTTGAGCCTAGTTAGGCCATGATTGGACAATAATTGTCAAATACAAACGAAAGTGCTACAGTGCCAAATACTGATTTCTAACTCCAATCTAAACAAGGCCTTAGTCTTCACCAAAAACCTTTTTTAAAAAAGATTTTTCTCTCGGCCTGCCCTGCAATCAAAGGAGACACACGCACCATGCTTGGTCGATGAAGGAACTGCTGTAGTTTAGTGCAATTCTTTTTTAAGGAAAGTGTGTTTTTATGTAGTGGACGATCTCAAGACTGATGAACAGCTTCGGTTCTTTGTTAATGGCTGTGTCAGTTCAGGAGTGTTGTCGGACACCCTACAGGAATCAAAAGGTTCTAACAAAAACGTGATCTTCTCATGTTTGTTCTGGGAAATAGTATACTGTATTTTGCATGAGCACTGTGTGCTGTTACTTTTTTTAGAATGGACGAAGCAGGCAGTTGGTTTCCAAATCCAAACGTGAGGTGTCTGAGACTGAGTTATTATATGCATATAGTACTAGTATTCACTTGTTGACACAAGACTGATGAACACCTTGGGATCTTTGTTAATGGTTGTGTCGTCATCACTCAACAGTTTAAAAATGCATAGGAGTGTTTTCTCGTTGACACCGTGATGAGCAGGATAACACGCATCCTTTCTCCACCTTTCTACCAAATAGTTTAAAAAGGCGACGTGGCAGCGGCCGTTCATCTGTAGTATGCAACTATGCATGCATGTAGTTGGCTGGTCAAAGTGTTCTCCTGCTAAATTCGGCAGCTAATCAAGCCTACACTACTCAAGAATTCGCTTTCACGAGAACCCTTTCACTTTGTGGTAAGAACTCTGCTGAACTGATCGACTCAACTCTGAAGTGATCAGCTGTTCTTATTGGATGCAACGCGCACTGATTAATTGGCTGAGCCTTCGTACCTGACTGTGCTGCCTGTGTCTATTCACAAATTGGGATGGAGGGATGGATGGACGCACAAGTGAGGTTGGACTCCAATCTGTCCTGTATGCAGTAGTTAGGCCTCTTCTTGTGGATTGCAACAGGTACACATTGCGTGCTAGCACCGGTAATCAATGCAAGCGATCAGGTCGAGAATGAGGTTTAAAATTTTAATTGATCGGCGAATCAGATTGTTGATGTTTGATCACCGACGAGAGGTGCCGTACAGAAGAAAAATAGTAACGGGTAGGTAGTCTTCTTTTTTCTACGACTATTTCCAACAGTGACGACTGACGAGCAGGTAGTAGTCTAGTAGTAGCTAGGTCTTGGAAGGAAGCTAGAACGGAGCTTGATACGTGCAAAGCAAATTTCTATATATGTTTCCAAAAAAAAAAGCAAATTTCTATATGCAGAAGACATAGTTTCAACTTTTAAAAAATGATCTCACAGAAAAAAAGGGCGTAAACATGAGCCCGGGAAAGTACGGTTTATTCACTTCTGCTAGAGTGCAGCCATTTTTTTTAACAACTTGTTAATTTCTATGGCCTGTTGATATCAACAGCTTAACTAGGGGGGGAATTGATCAAATAATTTGAGTGGTACGTACTTACCAAATGCCAGCACCTTTTGTGTCCTTATTAAGATAATGTGTCAAACTACCAAATTTGACAATGCAATATTTCAACTGGAATATATAATTACCGCGTATTCTTCTTCTTCTTCCTTCTGTTGCGTTCTTTGTCGACGGAATCTGCGCAAAGGACAACCGGTGGTGGAAAAAGGAAACATGAAAAATGTTCTGAAAAGGTCCAAATTAGCTGTAGATTTTGACACTTCCACTTATCCACTGGCTGTGGATCATATATTCACGCCCATCCGTACCCCAGGAATTTTCCCGTTTTTGTCCAGTCAGTAACTTATTAGTATAAGAAGCATAAAACAAACTGAGTTTTTTTTAGGGCTACAAACTGAGCATTTAACTCTCTGTTACCAGGTTGCAATCCACCTTTTACATGCCCCCAGGAGATGAAGGAGCTGGACAACCTAACTCTAAAATTACCCTATTTTCAAGCTAGGATAGGAAGCGCCATTGATTGGGAAGCTCTGCGCACAGTGGGTACGGACACGGACTGCTCCAAGCCTCGCAATAGATTTGATCCTAAGCAAAGTGCCCCAGCTAGCTCTCTGTCCCCCGCCATTTATGCTGATTTCGACAAATCGTGGGCAAAAACTCGATATTTAGCCATCATTGTCGCGCTTAATCTCCCTTTTTCGCTTTCCCAAAACATGCTTTAGCCCATAACCCCACGGTCTGATGATGCAGCCATGTCGCGGTTGTCCAACTGACGGCACACCAAGCAATCGCGCATGTCCAGTCGCGGCGGACGCCACCGCGATGCCAGTCGGCGCCCGCGCGGCCACCTCGGACACCCAGCTGGGCGAGCAAGGGCCGCGGGGCCCCAAAGAGATCGCGCGAGGGCCCCCCACGCGATCGCGGCCTCCCGTGCGCCGTCGCAGAAATCAACGGTGCAGGCAGAGGCAGAGGCAGGGCTCCCGACTCCCGTCGACCGTCGTGGCACAAGGCTGACAGCTGATAGCCTGACAGAGAGGGGGTTTGGTTGGTGAGGGGAGTCCGCGGTGAGGACCCGCGCGCGAGCGCGAGCCCGACACGGGCGCGGCTTGTGTTGTGTCACCTGTAGCGCGCTGTCGGCGTCACCCGGCATCTCACCGCGGGGCCGCGTGTGTGCGTGCGTGTATATAAACGCCTGGCCCTGCCACTGTCCCGGTTGCAGCAGCTCCGCACAGGCCCCTGGCAGAAGCGAGGCATTGTCGCCGAATCGCGAGCGATCACGCTGGTCAGGAGCAGAGCAGGAGCTTTCAGAGGTGTCGCCGCGCAGCAGCAGCAGCAGCAGCTTGGGGCTCGGAACGAACAACCATGGGGAAGGGCCGGGCACCGTGCTGCGCCAAGGTGGGGCTCAACAAGGGCTCCTGGACGCCGGAGGAGGACATGCGCCTCATCGCCTACATTCAGAAGTACGGCCACGCCAACTGGCGCGCCCTGCCCAAGCAAGCAGGTACGTACGGGGACGGGAGCCCCGGCCGCCGAAGGCGCGCCGTCATGGCATGGATTCCGTCGTCTGCACATGCATGGTGCGTGGGACTGGGAGTTCGTTCAGCTCTAATCGTTGGTTCTTCGACTCCATCCGTCCATAGGTTTGCTGCGGTGCGGGAAGAGCTGCCGGCTGCGGTGGATCAACTACCTCCGCCCGGACCTCAAGCGCGGCAACTTCACCGCCGAGGAGGAGGAGACCATCATCAAGCTCCACGCCATGCTCGGCAACAAGTACGTACGGTGCAAGCAGCGTTCCGACTTCGAGGATCGGAGTTCAGCTGCACAGTGCACACGTCGTCCTTTGGACCCATCCATGACGTCGAGACTGATCGAGTTCCGTTTGGATTCTGTCTCTAGGTGGTCCAAGATCGCGTCGTGCCTGCCGGGCCGGACGGACAACGAGATCAAGAACGTCTGGAACACGCACTTGAAGAAGCGGGTGTCGCCGGCCGGCGGGGAGGAGCGCGGCGCCGACGGGTCCAAGAAGAAGAAGAAGAAAGCAGCCGCTGGCGGTGGCGCCGAGGAGCCGCTCCCGTCGCCGTCGCAGTCCTCGTCCACCACTACGACGACCAACTGCTCCAGCGGCGACGACTCCGGCGAGCAGCAGAGCAACACGAGCAAGGAGGAGCCGGACGACGACGAGCTGGACCTGGAGAACCTCGATATGATGCCCATGCTCGACGACCCAGCCTTCGGCTTCGACATGCTGGTGGACCCCGTGCCGCCTGCGCCGTACGGCCCGGCGGTGTCCGTGTCCGTGTCCGCGCCCACGTCGCCCTGCGCCTCGTCCACATCCCCGCCGCCGGCGCCGGCGTGCGCCCCGCCCGGCGTGGACGACCACCTGCTCGTGCTGACGGAGATCGACATCGACCATGAGCTGTGGAGCATCATCGACGGAGACGGCGGCGCCTCCGCTTGCACCGTAGCCGCCGCCGAGGCACCGGCACCGGCACCGGCGTCGTGCTGCCAGCTGAGCAATGCAGAGCCGCCGAGCGGCGGCGCCAACACGACCAGCCACGGAGCGGAGGAGGGAAAGGAGTGGTGGTTGGAGGACCTGGAGAGGGAGTTGGGCCTGTGGGGCCCCGTGGAGGACTACCAGTACCCAACGGGCCCACATGGTCTGGTCGCTGACCACCCGGACCCGCTTCCTGCCATGGTGGACGACCCAGTGTCCTGCTACTTCCAAGCGGGCCCCGCCTCCGCCATGCTCCAGGAACCCGGATACTCTGCTGCTGCAGTCACAAGCAGTAACCAGATGGGGTTGTGAGATTATCGTCGTTCATTTGTCAAAAAATAGAAATCCTCAACAAAGCGATCGTATGCCTGGCAACCATCGACGCCAGCATACTTTTACGTGTATAATTGTACATGTGCAAAGCTCAAGAGGAGCAGAAACTCAATACGAATACGTCGATGGAATCATCACCGGCGTATTTCTATACAATAATAATACTAGTAAAAAGGGACATCAGTTAGCCTAGTATGCACATATACAGAAGATCTAAAAAGATGCTATTTTCGGGCAGGCATGCAGTATTGAGCAATGCAGTCATAGATTCACAAAGGAGTCAATATTTCCGGTACTCACTGAGTTAACCCAAGATGTAACTTACCTTCAGTTGCCAGTTGGTATATATATAAATATACTATAAAACAATGACTCTTAAGAGTCTAAGTACAGTTGGTATATATAACTTACCTTCCGTTGCCACTTGCCTTCATTTGGTATATATCCACGAAAGAATGCAATTCTTGTTTTTCAAGAAGTCAAACCGTTTTTATTTTAACTAAAATTATATAAAAAATATTAACATTGATGATACAAAATTAGTATCATTAGATTAGTTATAACATATATTTTTTTATAATAAATTTATTTAGAGATATAAATGTTAATAATATTTTCTATAAATTTGATCAAACTTACCAACACGAATATCATAATTGTATTCTTTCATGGACAATAAATATATCATAATTGATGAGTACTAGTTATTATTATCTAGGAGGGAAAATTTTGGCAAAACGCCATAAAATATTTTCGTTGTTATTTGGCAATTAGTGTCCAATCATAGTCTAATTGAGTTAAAAGATTACTCTCGTCTAAAAACCGTAATTAGTTTTAGTTTTTTTTTTATTTATTTTAATGCTTCATATATGCGTTATCTATGTAGTTTTTCAGTCTGAAGTGTATGGATGACGTCAGCGTGATGCATGCGCTGTGATCACTGGGGGTTCCTACTACCATTTTTATCCGGTCCAATCGCTGCGCCTTTGGCCTTTAGACTACGCACGCAATGGACGTCCAGTTTTGTCGTGCCTTTTTGACATTGTGACAACTGACGACGTAGACTTTTCTGTATTTTCGTCGCCCCCGTTTCTCATTCGCTAGCTGCTCGTGTTTTTCTACTCGATGTGCCATAGTCCTGTTCACACACTCCACAGGCCATGCCCTTTAATTTGGTCGAGCAAGTTGCATGATTGGGGATCGGGACGTCACCATAAAACACGATAAGGAAGTAGGTTACCTAACAAAAACAATACCAAGAGGAGGTACGTGTGTGTGTCATGATTGGGTCGTCGTAACTCGTACGCTCAATATCACAGATTCACAGGTTGCTAAGGCGTAGACAGTGGCAAGGTATGTCGCAGAACAAGAGGCCACAAACAAAACTACAAGTCTAGAACACCAGAGTGTTCTTCTAAGGAGCATAAAAGACTTGGACTTGTTTGGTTTAAGCTGCAATTTTAAGGTCTTTTATGCAAGTTTTCTGTGGTTTTTTTATTCTCAGCGGACCAAAAGTAAAAAAGCCTATCTTTACTTGCTTTTCAACTTTTAGTTTATTTCCCCATAAATCAACTTTCTAGCTTTTTAAAATCAAACTCAACAGCTAGGTACTAAGTTCTTTTGTTTCAGCTTCTGGCTTCTTACAGAAGCCACAAAAGAAACTAAAACAAACAAGCCCTCACTACCACATGGAATCCTAGGGTGGCCACGGGCCACGCCCTAGCAAAGACCAAAGAAGCCGTATGCAAGATTTGTGTGACCCATGCACCGCCCTCCGTCCATAAGAGAATGCAATTCTCACTTTTTGAGAAGTCAAACGATTTAAAGTCCGATCCCTAAGTTATATAAAAATACTAAAAAAATATTATACAAAATAAGTAACATAAAATTAGTTAGATATATTTTCATAGTAAATCAAGTTGAAGACGTAAATCTGTATACCATTTACCATAACTTGATCAAAGTTAAGTTAATTTGATTTGGACAAATTCTATAGTTGCATTCTTTTATGGGCGGAGGAAGTACAGATGTAAGTTTAGTACCATACTGCCTCAACCATGAAAGGGGACATCATAATTTGTGGCAGAGGAGTATGTGATACTGAAATTAATTATTTAATTATTATTTTTTGTTTCGGTCAATATTAATATGTTTTGTATTTCTATTTTTACTATCTTTGTTTTTGGTTTAAGTTTTATTTATCACCTTTTTATTTGAGCATCTGCCGGTAGCTTTTGAAACTTGCTTATAAAACGTGTTCTTTATTTTGATTTTATTTAAAAAGCCGTGCAGATGCCAATAGACGCCCAAATAAACTGGGCCTTAGTCTCTTTTATAGCCTTGTCATCTACTGTAACGCATGGTTCAACCTGATGGGCCGTATTCGCAGTTATTTATAGCCCATCTAAGGCTTGTTTAAATCCACTGTATAAAATTTTGGATGTTACGTCAGGTGTCATATGTAAGTATCGTATGGGATATCCTTGGATACTAATAAAAAATAAATTACAGAATCCGTCAGCAATCCATGAGATAAATTTATTAAGCCTAATTAATCCATCATTAGCACACGTGTTACTGTAGCACCACATTGTCAAATCATGATTAATGAGACTTAAAAGATTCATCTCGTAAATTAGTCGCCAATTATACAATTAATTATTTCTTTAATCTATATTAAATACTCCGGATATGCGTCTAACATTCAATATTAGGGAGAGGAACTAAAAAGGCCCGGATATGAGAGCGACAGAGTCGGGCTCCGCGCGTCTCTCTCCCTCCCTCCCCGCGATCGCGAGTGGACGCACTGCCCTCCAAACCCGCACGGAAAACGGATCGAGCCAGCGGCAGGAGGACGAGGTCTAGTACAGTGATCTACTGTTTTCAATTGGGGAATTTGCACGGCTTATGATCTTGATTTGTTCTGCGAACTGCGATGCATGGTTGCAACTTGCAATGCAGTTAATCTTCTTAGGAACGTCACAGTGAATTTGGACTGTCCGGATTTGCAGGTTTTTAGTTTTGGGGAAATAACTTGCAAAGTTTGGATCCCGCCCTGTGGGATGTGCCTCAAGTTTCTCAGCTCTGTGAGATGCTTGACAACATATCGGCAGAGCTGCAGGGGCAGGAGGTTGTGTATCAGTGGGTTACGGGATTCTTCAAGGTCACATCTCTGGTTTGATGATAAAATGAGACTAGGCTCAGATATTGTAATCCACAACCGAGATAACTGTGCAGTCTCAAGAACAAATTCATTGGAGTCTGTAATCCCTTTGATGATGACTTACAGCAGTAAGAAGCGCTATCAAGCTTTTCTTGAGGATCTCCATATGTGCATGATATGTCTTAACAAGAGCAAAGGTATGTATTTCCAACCAACCCTGGCAGTTATAGCATGCTCATTCATCCTTTAATGTCCGTGTTACTCCTTGAATCATTTCCTTTGTTGAAATGTGCCTTGTAATCAATACCACCTGGGTGAAGTTTTATTGTTTCACAATTCACATAGTACCTCTTGGGAGCTAATAGGGTTCTGGTCTTCAGTCCGAACTGACAGAATTTCAGCGAAACCTCCCGTCTCAGTGGGGCCTGAAACAATATCGCACCAGTCAAAAATTTCGGTCCAAATTGAATTTTTAGTCTAGTCTAGAGTTTAACAAGCCCACAAGTGCTTGCTTCAATATAAAAGTGCAAACCGGTCAAACTATAATCAATTTGTTTTCTCCTTGTGCCTCTCGGTCAAATTTTTACCAAATATTAGCTAAACATGAACATTTTGACTGGTCCATACTGTTGAATCCCGGTCCAAAATTTTTGATATTCATCCATTTTGGCGGGGTCTGAAATTTTTCACCATTTGAATCCCAGAAGGCCAGAACCCTTTGAACCTGTAAATTCCTAGCATTACCTTGTGAAACTGACTTGCACTCGCATAGGTTTATTCTCCTGTAACTAACTTTAATTCTGAAACAACTAGGCTCAAACTTCATCAAGCTTTCATGCCAACACCTATTTTGTGTGAAGTGCATGGAGACCTTATGCAGAATGCACGTCCAGGAAGGTACTGTGTTTCAGTTGGTATGCCCTGATACCAAGTGCAATGCTTCAATTCCACCATATGTGTTGAAGAGGCTTCTTACGGGAGAAGAATTTGAACGTTGGGATAGGCTTGTTCTTAAGAAAGCATTGGACTCGATGTCAGATGCGGTTTACTGTCCAAGATGTGGGATTGGTTGCTTGGAAGATGAGAGTAACAATTCACAATGCCCAAAATGTTCCTTTATCTTTTGCTCGTTATGTAAGGAACCATGCCATCCTGGGAAGCAGTGCATAACTCCAGAAGACATGATCAAAAGACAGCAGGTAAAATTCAAGATATGCACTAAGATCACTTTCATTTTTATGTTTTGCAGTTGATTCTCATCTTTGCATAGTAACCAGTGTATTAAACATCTGGAGTCTCCTTACTATGTAATTCAATGATACAATGTGCATTTGACATGCACTCTAATAAAGATCTGAGGGTCTGAGAAGCTTTTGCTACGGACTCGCTACTAGTTTATGCATTTAGCTGAATATCCAACACTTGCTGCCTACAATTTCTTTGTTTGCACTTTGCAGGCATCAGGCAGGATGTCAGAGAAGGATATGACGCGGGAACTGCTCACCATCAGAAAAATGTTCAATGATATTCAACTATGTCCAAAATGCCGAATGCCTATCGTCAAAACAGAAGGGTGCAACAAGATGTCGTGTGGCAACTGTGGTCAGTTGCTCTGCTTCCGCTGCGGCAGGGCGATCGATGGCTATGACCATTTCTGGTAGGTGATTCCAAGGCATCAATGATGCTTCCCTGGCATACCTTTTATGCACGGTTGGTTTGACAAAGTATAACAAAATCGGCCCATTGTAGGAACGGCAGCTGTGTGCTCTTTGAGCTACGTCAGTATAGCGATGTAACGCCATTCGAGAGGCATATGGAAGAAGTTCAAATTGACCGCCGGGTTAAAGTTCAACTGAGCCCAATCGGTAGTACTATCAGATGCCCTAAATGTCGCCAGAGAAATTTCAAGGTAAAGCAGCATTCGGCTTATTGCACGAGAGTGGTGATTGTTGATCACCAATGTTACGAGCATTGATTTGTCAGTGTGTATATGCATAATCTGACCAATGACCATGTGCATTCAGGACAACGAGGAATACATTTTCTGCTGGGCGTGCCGGATCCACTACTGCTCATTGTGCAGGATGAGGGTTGAGGACAAATACATGAAGTCAGGGCACTACCGGTCGTCAGAGTGTGTGGGGCTTGGAAACTTCTAGCGCTGGATCTGCCGCAGTTCTTCATCATAATATAGTGCAAGAGTCCCTTCGGAAATATATCCAATAGAATTAGGGCTGTGGATTGGTTCCCTTAAGGTCTCCATCAACTAACCCTCTTTAGTTCAATTTATTTGAAAAATAGCGTGCTGTCGATGTGTTCCTCTTGCTCCCGTTTTGTCACTGATGAGTGTCACATAGTGTTGAGTGACATTTTCCTCGTGTACGGCAACCAGCACCTCCTGGAGCAGTGAGGACGACGGCGGGATGTAGAGGCGGGAGTCGAAGGTGACCATGCCGTCGCACACACCCCACGGCGCCCCCGAACTTTCATTGTGAACCAGGATCGCGTCACAATGAGTGGCGGCGAGGTGAATCTGCGGGATCCGTGGACTGAGCTTGACGAAGACGCTCAATGTAGTCGAAGCGGGGCGCCGAGACAGCGAGCACCGCCCCCTCCTCCGTGTGTTGGCGGGACAGGGCGTCCGCCACGGTGTTGGAGGCGCCCGGCTTGTATTCCACCGTGAAGTCGAAACCGAGGAGCTTGCCCACCCAGTGATGCTGTGGGATGGTCGCTAGGCGCTGAAGTCGAGAAATTTGATAGGTACTTGAGGCTGAAATGGTCGGTGCGCACTCAATGAGACAAACTTTAATTCTCTTCTTTGCAATGTATGTGATGAGAATGTGAATGATTCCCCAGGTATGGCCGCCAATGAATGAATGGCGAGGACGAGGCCGATCAACTCCCGCTCATAGAGCGGTAGTGATTGCGCAAGAAAATGAAAGATGCGAGGTGCCACCGGCCTTTTCCGGTGTGAAGAAACATTCCAGGTGGTGCTTGTCCTAGAGGAGCACCGCGCCAATAAGAACCCAAGATGACGATGGAGAGCATCGCGGCTTCTCGACGATGAAAATGGCGGCTGTCGAAGTCCGGGAGTAGGGCGGATATGGTAAGAAGCGGAGAGGTGGAGGCAGCGCGCTTAATCGAGCGCCAAAACACGGAATGGACAAATGTGCAGCCTCCTCGGTCCAAATTGAACCCATCCTTCTTGGTGAGCGCCGTGAGGACGCGCGCATGCGATGATGCCGTAGTCATGGACGAACTTGCGGTAGTAGCCCGCTAAGCCGAGGAACCCACGGACCTTGGCCGAACGTGGCTGGGCTAGTCCATGACCGCCGCACCTTGGCCGGGTCCATAGTGACGCCCAAGCGCGGCGATGATGTGGCGGTAGGAGATGGAGTCGACGCCGAAAGCGCACCTAGAGCGCTTGATTTAAGAGCGAAAGGCGTTGCCGCAGGGATTGATTAAAACAGCGCGAGGTGGCGCAGTGATCCGCCAGGTGTGGCTTGTAGCCCAGATGAGTATGTCATCGAAAAACACAAGGACGAACCGGGATTTGGAGGAAGGCGCGCAGGATGTCGTTCATCGAGCTCGAACGTGGGATGGGCGTTGAAGCAAGCTTCAAGACAGCCCGAAGTACATATTCCTAATTTTGCATCACCAGGGAACTCGTAAAGGCCGTCAGAGTTCTAGGATTATCCGAACGCCGTCTTTGCGATGTCGGCGGTCGCGCGGGAACATCGATGTGGACCTGGTGGTAGCCCGAGCGGAGGTCCAGCTTGGTGAAGAACTTGGCGCCGTGCAGCTCATCCAGCAGTTCATCGACCACCGAATCGGTCACGCGTCCTTAGACGGTGATGGCGTTGAGGGCTCAGAAGTCGCGCAGAACCGAGAATAAAGTGGGATCATTAATGGGTTTAAGTAAAAGCCATGATTCCCGTACATACATAACACGATCCGTCGGCTTTCTTGACGAGGACGAGGACGGGGAAATAGGATGGCACGCCGATGTGCTGCGACGGATGATGAGTCTTGCTCCATCATGGCTGCACATTGCCGCCCAACCCTCGTCCTTGATGCGCGCCGTCGCACCGGTACCGGTATGGGCGAGGCAACCAGGTGACATCCAAACGCCCGATGCGCAGAGGTGGATGGCGGGTCGCCGACGCTGCGCCGAAGCGAGCGCGCCATTCGCCACTCCTCTCCACCACCAAACGCGTCGTCGGCGGCAACAACTACGGCATTCGATGGTTTGCCAGCGTCTCGGAAACCCATCTACGCTCCATGGTCGAGCATTGGAGGCCGCGCGCCCGTAGTGGTGGCGATGAGGGCAATCGGTAGTACTATCAGCGTCCGGTCCATTGGCGCCCGCCGAGAGTGGTGATTGTTGATCACCACCTGCATAATCTGGCGCTTGAAGGACAACGGGCGTCGACGGTGAAGTCTGTGTGAGGGCCCTAGGCGGGATCATCCATCGAATCCCGAGGACCACATCGTAGAAAAAATAGCCAGCGATGACGAAGAGGTCCGCAGCGAACGGGCCCCCTCGATTGTGAACGCGGCACACATCAAAGGTGCGGCGAGGCAGGCTGCGCTTGCTGAAGAGCGTTAGCCACCGTCGCGGCGGTGAGCGCCCTGCCGAGACATCCGGCGGGCGGCTTTGGATGGGCAACCCGGTCTGCTGCGCTGCACCCTCCGAGATGAAATTGTGCGTTGAGCCGGTGTCGAGGAGGGCGATCGCCGCACACATCGCCCGCTCATAAGCCGAATCGCGGAATCTGAAGAGGGAGTCGGGTGCTTGGGGGACGCCGCCACGGCGTGGAGGGAGGGGCCGGGGCCTCCTCGACGGCCTTGTCCTCAGCGGCCGTGTCGTCATCGGCATCGTCGACCTCCATGGCGCCATCCAGGAGGAAAAGATGCTTGCACACCTTGTTGTGGCCGCATGTGTACTTTTCGTCGCAGTTGTAGCACAAGCTGAGGCGTCGGCGCTCCTCTTATTCCGCCTAGGAGAGGCGCTTGATCGGGACGTCTCAATGCGCTTGCCACCGGTCAAGAGCGGCGTCCATCGATGGTGACCGTCGGTGGGCGGCTTTGGCGCCATTCTGGGCCGCGGCGCATGTGACACGGTGGAGGGACCGGCAGAAGTCCCCGGGCTGCAGTCTTGGGCTGGGCGATGGTATACTGCTCCATCAATTCCATCTGCCGGGCCAAGCTCATGGCCGCCGCAAGAGATCGCCGAAGGTGGCTAGGGTTTTGAATCTGCACGCGAGGCTCGGCGAGGGTGGAGACCTCCGTGAAGAGCCGGGCGCGCGTGCGCCTCGTCAATCCATCGTCGCCGCCATGCGTGCGCCAAGGCTCTGGGCGGTCTGGTATTCCGCCACCGAGCCCGTCGCCGGCCGCAATCCGCCTCAACAGATGCGGGCGGCGGGCGCGGCGCGCCCGTGATAACGCAGGTTCAACAGCTCGGTGAAACGCCGCCAAGACGGCGTGCCCTCATCTTGTTGTACCTGCATGTACCACATCTGGGCGCCCTCTTCGAGGTTGTATGACGCCATCTAGACCATCTCCTCTTCCATGATGCGCTGCTGGTGGAAGTAGGATTCACAGCGGTTAAGGAAGATGAGGGGATCGCTTTTGCCATCGTACCGGGGAAAATCCATCTTCTGGAATTTTGGCGGTCGGTCGTTATGGTGCTTTCGCCGACACACGGCGCCTTTGCTTTGCGAGGGAGGACGAAAGCGGTCGGCGGCAAGGGAGGCGATGGCCTTGGCATTGGCCGGCGACGGTGGCTGCTAACGGCGACTTGACGACTTCGGCGAGCGACTCCACCGTGGCCTTGAGGTCACTTTGGTCACCCATGGCTGCCGAACACGATGCTGCAGAAGACGACGGCGGGGATGGTGGCGTGGCGGCTGGTGGTGGTGGGGTGGCGGCGGCTGGTGGTGAGGTGGATCGGGAAGGCGAGTATCGCTGGGATCGTGATACCAGGTTGTTAAGGGCGTCAAACCCTCGGATAGCTGGCCCTCGGCTACGCAACTCGTAGCCTCGGTCCGTCGTCTTCTCCGGCGAGGTTGCCCCTGCCGCATGCTTAGTTGAGAGAAGGAGATAGGAGATTAGATGGTAATATTTTTCTTATTCCCAATTGTTTGCGGAATTACAGATAAATAGGCCAGCCTACCTAACCAACTTGGCAACAAACTATTCCTGAAAATAACCTCTCCTAGACTTAAGGGAATAAAAAGGAAACTAATCTCTCTTTCCTCTCAACCACTCGCGCTGGCCTCCTCCCGCGCGGCTGCTGCGCTGATCGCGCGCTCTGTGGCGCGCCGCACGTCACGCACCTGTCGGCGCCTAGTATACGTGCATCCCCACATGACAAAATGTAATTCTATTATCACGGATTTATTATGTCCAATCAATTCGACACAATTTCAGCTACAATCTCCAGACCAAGTAATGACCATGAGGCTTGTCTTGGCTGCATTGCCATTTCCCGGTGTCTAACACCTGAACTGACAAATGAAGAGTTCTTGTCTGAGTAAGACATGGTCAGAGCGATCCATTCAAAATGAATGCCTTAGTGATCTTATATTAAGAAAAATTGACCCCTATATATCATCCAATTAGGATACTTTTTTAATTTTAATATTTTATGAAAAGTTGACTTATCAAATTATTAGATTGTCCGTTAAGGTCTTATTGGAATTGCTCCACAAACTTCAACATGGAGTAGCTCAAAAAAAAACTAGAGTTTCTATAGCACCTCTCATAATCCCATCTTTTTATGGAGCAAAGTTTAAGGAGATGTAGGTATTTAGATAATGCTTGGCCTTGTCCGACCCATCTGGATGCGCTCTAAAAATCTCCTCACATGTGGCCATCCGCTCGTCCCACTCCCCGCGGCACCTCCATGCCGTGCCATCCCCTGCTCCCCCGTGGCATGGCACCTCCATACCGCGCCATCCCCCGCGGCGCCTCCACCAGCCAGCGTCCGTCGTCGGCCCCTTCTTCCCGGCCCCCGCCCGGCTAGAGCTACCATCGGCCCCTTCTTCCTGCCCCTGCCCGGCCAGAGCTCGCCGACAACCGCCTTCACCTGTGCCAACCCCTCCCCCTCTCGCCTCTCGCCAGAGCCTGCCGGTGGCCTGTGCCCATTGCTGGCCTGTCCCCGCCTCCCCCTCCACCCACCTGCGACGGTGGCAGCTTGCAGCGCAACCAAAGTTCACTAGCGGCCTATCCCCGCCACCCCTCCGCTCGCCTCCAGAAGAGGCCACGACAGCGCTGCCCTCTGCCTGCCCATCCCCCGCTCTGCGCTGCATCGTACGGAAGAAGGTGGAAAACACATGTTGTAAACATATGTTTCAAGTGTTTCAGATGTTCTATAGATATGTTGTAAGTGTTTCATGCGGATGTTACAAAAGTAGATCACGATGTTGCATATGTTGCAATAGTTGTACACGTATGTTGCAAGCTTCTATTCTCAATGTTTCATCTGTTATTCCAAACGTATGTTGCAAGTGTGTTTATTTCGATGTTGCATATGTTTCACATATATGTTGTAAGTGTTTTTCTCTGGATGTTGCATATACTTTACAATGGTTTTACTTGTTTTTCAGGTGTTTTTGCAAGTGTTTCATATGTATGTTTCAAGTGTTTTATTTGCTTTTAGACGTATGTTGCAAGTGTTGCATCTGAATGTTTCAAAAGTAGATCGAGTGTTGCATCTGCCTCCTCGCTTTCCACTGCCTCGCCTCGGTGTCTCCTCCTCCTCCCAGCATCGGCCGAGCATCCGCCGCCCCTTCTCCCTCTTCTCGATGCTAGTGACGGTCGCAGGCGTGGGCGTCTGGACGCCCTGTCTATCCAGGCGCTAGCAAGCCCTTTGGCTAAAAACCACAGAGCTGGAAAACATAGAAGTCCCAAACAAGCCCTAAAACACTTGGCATGGTCATTGGATAGATAAATATATAAGCCGTGCTTGAATGAGTTAGAGGAACATGTCTAGAAACAGTGTGGTGTGAGACGCCAAGGTGAATTGAAGCACAATGACGTGATTATATTGGATATAAATCTCCAATCTCATGTTTATACGAGTTGGGTGCACGTCTAGACACTGCAACGAGTTCGATTCGAAAACAAATTAAACACATTAGACATCAGTTAAACAATAAATTTGAGCCATAAGCCGTCCAGAAGGCTGCGCAATAAGATGCATGTGTATTTTTTTTCTAGTCCAAAAATAAATAAAGCCTAAATAAACGACGAAAACGAGAGCGACGTACGGCGCCAGAGCCCGAGTTCGCGCTATGGCGGCATTAGCTTCCGGCAGCACTACGTCGCCGCGGGCGCTGGAGCTGGAGCTCCACCGCAGCGGGCGTTTCTCGGACAAGGCCTCATCGTCGGGCGGTGCGGAGTCCAGTGCGGTGGCGGCCGAGGGTGGCTGCGAGGCCGAGGAGGGCGTGCTTGACCTGGACTCCCCGTGGGTGGCGGCGACCGAGGCGGAATCAAGGCTGGAGGAGGCGGCTACGGCTGCGGGGGTGGGACTCTGCCTCCTCGCCGATGAGGAGCTGGAGGAATACGAGATACGAGACAACCAGCAGCGGCAGGAGGACGAGGTTCAGTAATTCAGTATACTAATCTAGTCAATCAGATTGGAAATTTTGCGACGGAAACCATGATCGTGATGTGTGCTATGATGCTTGTTTTAATTTAGTCGATCAGTCTGCAGGATGGTAATGATGAGATCAGGGATTTTTGTTGCAGGGTTTATAACTCTTTGGGTTTGGGATGCTGCTGGGACATGTACAATTCAATTTATATAAGAAACAAAAACGACCAGATAAAAATGCATTGGATCATAACATGGAGCAAGGCTGTTTACTTACGAATATGATTACTGATTTTGCTGTTCGTCTAAGAAAAAAATGGCTTGTTGGGACTCCAATTCTGATATATGTTGGATGTTATGTTGCTTAAAAATCTGATGGAGTTGACCATACTACAGAGCCAAACTTTCTTTCTTTAGATCGCGTTGTTGAGCTTGATCATCTGCTCGCTTATAATTGATATATATGATTGTCCGCTGCAGCTGACGGCATTGGAGGCAATATATGGTGATGATCTGATTGTGTTTGAAAACAAAGGAGGGCTCAGAAGTTTTCAGGTTTCTTGAGCTGGTCATGCATGATCATCTGTTCACTTAATTCATATGAATGTCGTTGCTTCAGTTACTCTTGGATGGCTCGAATCTGATCTTGATGGGTTTTCTGTCTATTATTTATTCCAGATTTACATACATTATCATTTGCCTGATGGCATCAAAGTGTGCGCTAAGCTTTCAGCACCTAATGCTAGCCCCAGGGATGTAGGATGGTGTGACGATTATAAGCATGACGATGGACATGGACCTGACGAGTTCTCCTACACCTGCGATTTCGAGTACCTGCCTCCTTTGATATTGACATGCCTTCTTCCACGGTCCTATCCTAGCAAAGACCCCCCAAGTTTCGCTGTCACTGCTAAGTGGATGGATGGGCCTTATGTTTCTCAACTCTGTCAGATGCTTGACACTATTTGGGCGGGGCTGCCAGGGCAGGAAGTCGTATATCAATGGGTTGAATGGCTACATAATTCTTCCATGTCTTATCTTTGGATTGATGGAAACATGACACTGGGCCCAGATATTGTCAACCACAATGGAGATAACCGTGCAATCTCAACAACAAACTCACTGGAGTCTGTAATCCCTTTGATGCTGAACTACAGTAGTAAGAAGCGTTATCAAGCTTTTCTTGAGGCTATCCATATGTGCATGATATGTCTTAACCAGACCAAAGGTAAACATTTTCCTCCAGCTCTAAGCTTATCACTTACTCTGTGGTGTCATGTTAGGCCCTTAACTTGTTGAACAATGCCTTGGTACAAGGTAAGCTTATCACTTACCTTGTTGTAACCAATTAGCTGGGTGCAAGTGCAATATAGTAGACAATTTATATTTATTGGGAACCAGGGAACCCGAATTGCGCTTACAAAGAAGTTTGTTCTCCTGTAAATAACTTTAATATTCAAACAATTAGGTTCAAACTTCATCAGGCTTCCATGCAAACACTTTTTTTTATTAGAAAAGGGAATATATTAATATCCTAGCTTCTGCATCGACTAATGCATATAGTTGTTCCTTATTACACATAAGCACAAGGGTCTACGCAATCTCAAAAACAAAGTTTTGATCCAAAAGGAAGAAGGTAAAGTTTCCCAATGCAACATCTAAAACGTAATTCTATTATTGAATTTCCAACCGTTTCTTGCAAACACCTCCATCGCGGTTGTCTCAATCTTCCTGCAACCCATCTTCATCATTTGGCAATCCTCCTCCTTCTGAAGTAGGGACCAAAATCTGATCCAGTAAGTCCCCTAAAGATAACATGCAAATAAGATGGTGCTAGGACCTTGTCAAAAACTATGTCATTCCGGGTTAACCATATTACACAGCAAATTGCACTCGCACCCACAAGAATTTTGGATTTCAGCTTCCTATTAAACCCATGTAACCAGTCTGTAAACATATTATGCACACTAGTTGGAGGTATTAAATTAAAGGAGATATGAATAGTTCACCACACAAATTTAGCAAAATAACAATCAAAGAGTAGATGTTGTATGGACTCCTCAGATGAACAAAAACAATACTTCCTGTCTCCTTGCCACTGTCGTCTTACTAAATTGTCTTTTGTTAAAATTACTCCCTTATACAAATACCACAAAAGACTTTGATTTTAAGAGGTAGTTTCAGTTTCCATATTAAAGTGTTATAAGGTATAGCTTCATATCCTAATAAGGCTCTGTACATGGATTTTACTGAAAAGAATCCATTCTGATGTAGTCCCACACAAAATGATCCATCTGGTTTGTTAATTGTACATCTGCCACCATGGCAACCACCTCGTGCCATGTATAACACCCCAGGTGTTTGGCTTCCACATTTGCACTTGCATTTCATAAACATGAGCATCATTCATCCATTCATGAGCTTATATTGCATGAAACATGCTTGTGAAACATTGCAACATATTGTCATATTTCATGTGTGTTTGTTTTATGAAATGAATAGTGTGCAACACTCAAGTGCAACATATGCAACACACTTTAGTGAAACAAAGCTAGTTAGTACCATGCAACAAGATCATGAAACATGTGAAACATGACTATGAAACAAATGTAACATTTCATGTGTTTTTCATTGTTTCAGTACATACAATGCTTGATTCTTGTGTGACCAATGTGTGGTGTGGCTAATTATTCTCCTAAGAACCTTAGTTATACTTAGAATGTCATTAGGAACAATGTTCATGTTGATCATTTTGCCTAATTAGGTTCCCAAGTCATGGTTTGACCATTTTGGACCCCTAGAGCTCCTGAGTTTGACTGTTTAAAAAGTGTAGCTTAGAGTGTTTGCATGTCTGAGCAACCTAAAGCAACATTGTAGTAAATTTTATAAGGAACAAACTTTGTTTAGAAGCCAAGTCATGAAAATGTGCACAACATGCTCAAAAAGGTCCCACAAGTCAGTTTTGGGGTTGTATTTGACACTTAGAATTTTTCTAAGTATAAGGGCTGGGTTTCAGTTTCATGTACCCAACTTATTCACCTTGTAGCTCCCAAACAAAACCGAATTAGCTTGAACTCCAATTGGCAAAGTGGAAGATCACACTAAGTACTACAACTTTGTCAACTATGCCATGAGCTGAATCCTCATGGTTTTGGAAATATGGAGCGATAAACTTGCTCTGTCAGTCGGTTCATTTGGAAACTGAATCGGATTTCAGACGTGCTACAGTACCCGACCGGCAGCAGGACTTCACCGCCGTGTGGCGCTGCGCGTCGCCGGCCGCCTGCCTAGTCAGGCCATGTCGGGCCATAGCTCGGCAATTGAAGCCCCAACACGCCACTGAGAGCCCCCCTGTGCCACATTTCATTTCTTCGTTTCCTCCGCTCACCACAGCAGTCGCAGCGGGCCGTCGTCGTCGTCACCGGCTCCGCCGCACTCGCGCCTGCTCACCGCTGCACCACAGCCACCATCGTCCCAACCATAGCTCCGTTATCGCCTCACGGACCTCGTCGACATCCTCGCTGAGCCATCCAAGCTTTAGGTAAGCGGCATTGCCGAATCCGCGCACCACCGCGCCATGCCGCCATGGTCGCCGTCGGTGATCTCACGCGGACATGCTTGACAGCTTCACCGTAGCCAGTAGCAGTAGCGTAAGCAGTTCCCCTTGGTCACTGGAAGCTGATGCGCACCTTGTCCGAGCACCTAGCGCCGGGGTTCGCCGGAGCGCCGCCATGCGCCATGGCCGACACACCTTGAGGCCGCTAGAGTCTAGGTTAGGGGGTTCAATCGATTCGGGAGGTCATGGTGAACACGGAGGTACCCTCCTCATCGCCGGAGAAGCCGCCGCCGGCGAGCTAGCGCCGATCCCGCGCCACCCCGCGCTGTGCTCTGTTCTTGTTTCGCTGACAAGTGGACCCCGGTTGTCTGTGACTCAAGATCCAGAAGATAGTTCAAATATTTCTGATTTGAATGCTGTTTTGTAAAATTTATATCTCTAGTTTGGTAGATCCAAATTGGGTGGTTCCAATTTTGTTGGGATCTTGGTGAAGTGTAGTATTTAGGAAAAATATAACATGAACACTTGTAGTAGAAATTCTAGAAGATTTAAATTGAAACTTGAAATGTGTTTTTGAATGCATGCAAACTTGTTTAAATCATATCTTGAGTTTTTGTGATCCAAAAATTATGAAATTTTGTGGGTAAGCTAGTCTTGCTTAGTAGAAGATCTGGTTAAAATTTGAGAGTCATGGCATGTATGGTTTTTGAGTTATAGAGTTTCCTTTTTATCATTGAATGATCCTTGTGTGAATTTTAGTAATTTATCTATGAATCCAATGACCATGAAATTTGTTGGAGAAAGTCCTAGTACCTTAAGGATGCTAAGAAAAATATAAAATCTGTTGCTTGACACTTTTCATTAGGGTTTCCTAATTATGCCATTTTAAGCCATTATGCCTTATCATTTTTGTGTAGGCTGTTATACTTACTCAAATGGTGTAAAATTTTTATGGTAGTCTACTTAGAGCATGTAGTATCTACTGTAATTTTTGTAGATTTAATGGTGTAGTTTTAATATATGTTTACCATTTTCTCTAATTAATTAAATAAATTAAGAAAGATATTAAAAGAAATGTTTTGGTGATGAGCACCCTACTTTCTGGGGTTTATGTGATATGAGTGATATGTGAGTAGAGTTAGTTTTGTCCAATTATGTGTTTACATCATAAGTTATTAATTATTTCGTTTGCATTATGTCCCTCTGAACAGATCTGGGGACTTTAAGAAGTTCCCCATGATATTTTGGTTTTTTGTGAATGTGATAAACACAAGAGTTGTAGATAATTTATGTATCTAGCTCCTGTCAAAATTTGAGGGCATTTGGCCCTGTAGTTAAGAAACTACAACTATTTAAAGTTAGGTTCCAGTTTTACCTACTCTCTGTCTTGGAAAGACAGATTTCTGTTGATTAAAGAATTTGACCTGGTAAAAGTTCGAATCATGCCTTGAGGTATGAAAATGAATTGTAGAAAATTTCATAAGCTTTCCAAATTGTCTTGTTGCATGTCATTTGGAATTGTAAATCTCCAGTTATGGTCAGTTTACTGTACCGCTGTCTAGTCCCTATTTTGCTGAAATACAAATGTTTGTGTGTATGCTTTGTTGCAATATTCTTGTTGATTGTTTAGGTACTAGCCTAACTTGAGAATATGCTTAGGTGCAGGTGCTAGGTCTTTAACTGAAGATGAGAAATTATACATTAGGTTGTATAAACTTGGTAAGTTAAAGTGATTTGAATAGAGCTTAAGTTAGAATATGCAAACTGCAGTAAGCATGTGCATTCCCTGAGCATCCCTAACTTCATTCATGTGCATCCATGATATTTATCTTGCGCATTCATGCAATAGGTGTGATGGAGGGAGTGACGCTTCTGGAGTTCGAGGGAGCGAGCCAGGAGGAGGAGCCCGAGGTGCAGGCAACCGACGAAGCAGCCGCCAAGGAGGAGTTGCCGAATGCCCTGACCACCGTCCATCCTCTTTCCTAAAAGGCAAGCCCCGGAGCATTATAAGTCTCCCATGTTTTTTACAAATATATTGAGCATCTCTTATTGTTGATGATGTATTAAGTATAGGAATTGGTTGAAACTAATTGTTGCATTATATCCCTACCTTATCCAGATAAAATCCTGTGAATCCTAATTAAGTGTAGGATCGAATGATGCTTAGCTATGCATAGACCGGTAGAAGTCGGGTGATTTCCTGTCACCTGTGAGATGTAGGATGAGCTCTGGTCATGGTTGGCTATATTTGCTATCGTGGGAAAAGAACCATGTGTTAATAATGAATGGAGACCGGACGGAATGACGGTAGTGCAGCAACAAGGCATGGAGGTCTTGGGTGTGAATCTATCCCCGTCTGTGTCATTTAAGGACCGATTCGCTGTACGTCCTCAGGTCATGTTGAACGCAGCCTAACACTTAGCTGGCCGGATAAGTCATTCCGACCGCGAAGCCGAGTAGCTCAACTCAGGCCGGGAACCGTGGGGGTTGGGGCATTCTAGAGGTAGTAAGGATGTGCGGAGAGCCATTGGCGTAAGCCCAAAGGCGGGTTAAAGGCCCGATCACCCTTGGCAGAGTGGTTCTCTAAGAATGCTAGGCGGCCCGAACCCACGTCTTTTCTTTTATTTTTCTCCTGAGTTGTACCAAAGGTGACTTGTTTGCGACCCTGACGGGGGAAGCAGGGTTTGTGTTAGGAATACCCCTCCAGCTGGATAGGAATCGATTCGAATCGCCGTCTCTTCCGGATAGTGAGAACTTAACTTGAGCAGCGGCAACGTAGATTCACTAAATATAAAGATATGGTTAAATGATGACGATAATGATGATGAGAATGATGATGACCCATGAAATACCTGATATGGTTATTATTGTTTGCAACTAAATCAAATGGTTGATTAGTACAGTTGCTAATATATATGGTAGGTAATGGCTAAAAGTCAATGCTAGTACAGGTGAATAATGCTAATGGTTACTCAAGCTTTTATGCAAAAAGGTTGTCCAGCAAGATCCACTGATAAAGCCTTGCATACTCCTTGGTGTCATTTATTTTTGGTTTATGATGGGTAAGTCTAGCTGAGTACATTCTCGTACTCAGGGTTTATTCCCTCTTGTTGCAGATGACCATCTTTATCAGGGCTTCTGCAAGTATTGTCTCCACCCGGCGGGTGACGAAATCTAGATCATGGGCATGATCTCTGTTTATCTTATCCAAATGCTTTTGTGGGTTGTGATCAGCAAGCTGGTACTTGTATTTGAACTCGGGTGTGTGAGTTAAACTATTTGCTTTTGCTACTTTACAAGACTTGGTTTGTAATAACTATGACTCTGATGCGTTGTAATCTATCTGCAAACTGAACCTGAAATGTTGTAACGTATGAGATGTTATATTGAATTATTGTGATCTTGGTTGTATGCAAGTTGGTTTGAAATCCTTCGTGGTTTCAGTTGACTACCGGGTTTATATGGGCTCAAGTGCGAGAATTTGATCGTTTCGGCGATTGTTTTTGTACTTGTGCTCTTATAAATTGGTCGGTTCTATGACACCATGCTTGTAGATTAACACCTACCACGGATCTCCTAAAAGCCGTTCTCACAGACGTCCCTTTCCTCCTAACAATATTATATAGTGTAGGAAAGAGCGATTTTAAAGGACGTGGTCTTATCCACGCATCCTCCCAAAATCGCACTTGAGAGCCATCACCTAGTTCGAACTTGCCTAACAAGAGGAACTCCCCCTTGACCTTCATGAGGCCGGCCCAAAATTGAGAATCCCCAGGCATATGTTGAACCTGTGTTAGGGTCTTGTTTTTTAGATATTTATTCCTAAGTAATTGTTGCCAAACCTCATCTCTATTCAGCAGCTTAAAAAGCCATTTGCTTAGGAGACACTTATTTTGAACATCTAAATTTAAGATACCCAACCCTCTTGATCTTTCGGTGTACAGACTACCTCCTATTTAGTCAATCTGTATTTCTTTTTGTGTTCATCGCTCTGCCAAAAAAACGGGATCTGAAATAGTCTAACTTCTTGAGAACCCCTTTCGGTAATTCAAAAAAGAAAAGCATAAACATAGGAAGACTGCTTAAAACAGAGTTAAGCAAGACTAGCCTCCCTCCTACTAACAACATCTTACTTTTTCAACAATTCAACCTCTTTTGAAAACGTTCTTCAACATGTTTTTAGTCCTTATTCATGAGCTTTCTATGATGCATAGGAATACCCAGATACCTAAATGGAAACAAGCCCAAATCACACCCGAAAATTTGTGCATAATCGAATTGATTCGCTTTGGCTGCTCCCTAGCAAAACAATTCACTCTTATGGAAATTGATCTTGAGCCTCGACAACTGCTCAAAAGCACAAAACAAGAGCTTCATATTTTTTGCCCTCTCAAGTTCATTATCCATAAAAATGGCAGTATCATCTACATATCGGAGGACTAAAAGTCCCTCATCTACCAAATGCGGAACAATCCCTCAGATATGATCAGCCTCTTTAGCTCGTGAAATAAGGATAGCCAGCATATCAACCACTATGTTAAACAGAATAGGAGATAACGGGTCCCCTTGCCGCACTCCTTTCCTAGTTTAGAAATAATGGCCTATATTATCATTAACCTTTACTGCAACACTTCCTCTAGACATGACCTTCGAAATCCATTCACACCAAGTTGGTGAGAATCCTTTCATTGTGAGGACCTGTTGAATAAAAGGCCACTTTATCTTATCATACGCTTTTTCGAAGTCTAACTTTAAAATCACACCATCTTGTCTTTTCCTACGTAACTCACTAATCGTTTCATACAACATAACAACTCCTTCCATAATGTAACGACCTGGGATAAAGGTTGTTTGTGATGGTCCTATCAACTTGTCTGCCACTTTCAAAATTCTATTATTTAGCACTTTCGTAAAAATCTTAAAGCTCACGTTTAGCAAACAAATTGGACTGTATTGTTATATTCGGGCCGCATCAGCAATCTTAGTTAGCAAAGTAATAATCTCGAAGTTTAGGCTATGAATAGGCAGTCTCCCATCATGGAATTCATAAAAAAAATTTATTAAGTCTGGCTTTATAACTTCCCAAAAAAAATTGATAGAAATCCGCAGGAAAGCCATCCGGACCAGGTACTTTGTTATGTTCCATGTAAAAAACTGCCATTTTGAACTCCTCCTCGCTGAATGGAGCTGTCAACATCTCATTCTCCTCCTCCGACACTTGAGGTATGTCATGCCTCGAAGTCTCATCCATTGAGAAAGAATTTGGTATATGAGGTCGAAACAGTCCTTTATAAAATTTAGTTATATAGTTATTCAGATTCACATCTCCAACAACAATTCCCTCTTCTTGTTCTAGCGGTATGATTTTTGTTTTCTTCCATGCAAACACTTGTTCTGTGTGAAGTGTATGGAGACCTTGTGCAGACTGCATGTCAAGGAAGGTAGTGTATTTCAGTTGGTATGCCCTGATAGCAAGTGCAAAGATTCAATTCCACCATATGTGCTGAAGAGGCTTCTTACAGAAGCAGAATATGAGCGTTGGGATAGGCTTCTCCTTCAGAAAACACTGGACTCAATGTCAAACGTGGTTTACTGTCCAAATTGTGTGATCGGTTGCATGGAAGATGACGAAAACAATGCACAATGCCCAAAATGCTCCTTTATCTTCTGTTCGTTCTGTAAGGGGCCATGTCATCCAGGGAAGAAGTGTTTAACTCCTGAAGAAAAGATACAGCTCCGAAAGGTATATATAGGATCCTTGATTTGTAGTGTGCAGTTTATTCTCCGAAAAGAAACAGCTCCGAATGTCGCAGCATGCTATGATTTTACTGAAAATGTACAGGTTTCAGGCAGGATGACTGAGAAGGAGATGGCGCAGGAACTGTTCAACACAGACAACTGTACAAGGATGTTCGGCTGTGCCCGAAATGCCGAATGGCCATCGCCAAAACTGAAGGGTGCAACAAAATGGTGTGCGGAAACTGTGGTCAGTTCTTCTGCTTTGCCTGCGGCAAGGCCATCAGTGGTTATCAGCATTTCAGGTAGGCCTTTCGGGCATCCAGTGTCCTTTATTTCTTTCTGAAACACAAGGGAAAAGCTCAAGGTTTTCTGGTCAGCCTACTTATGTTTACGCAACACAAGTACACTTTTGACATGACATAGCACAAAACCTATGCATTCCATTTTAAAGAAAAACAACAACTCATTGCATTGCAGGGATCAGGACTGCAAACTCTTTGCGGCGAGAGACATAGCGGAGTGGGAGAGGCAAATGGCAGAGATACAACCTGAACGCCTGATGAGAAACGCAGCACGCCCAATTGGTTCTACCGTCAGATGCCACAAATGCCGTGCACAGAACTTTAAGGTAACGCAACCTAGACTCCTAGTAATAGTATGCTTTCGATCTGTATCTGTATAAAAGAGCTGTATTTTGGGGTGCCGAATTAATGTGAAGCTGAGGGGTACATATCTTGTGCACACAGAAAGATGAGAAGTACATGTGAATTGAGCGTAGCTCAGCTGGTTGGTGTAACAACCCAAAAATCTACACACAAAAAATCACAACTATAAAATTTTTTCTTCAAAACCCCATATGGTGATGAGTGACATTATAGGAGCCAACCCTAAGTGTTGCATTAGAAGTAACCCAACTAGATAAATTCATGAACATGGCATATCATTTGTTATCATGTTCATTTAAATACTGACAAATGAAACATAGCATACACTGTCAACTCAAAGGGTGATTTGGATTTTCAATTGTTTTATGTAATGTCTAACAACACCTTTAAAGAAATACACCATAAAGTAATTAATACTCAAACTAAAGAATAAAAGTTTAAAGAGAAAACTAATTCTATTTTTTATAACAAAACCACACCTATTTTTGTTATACAAAATAGCTAAATAAATTCCTAATATTTATATAAGAATGTGGTGGGCCTCATATCTAAAACTCCAATGAATTAGGTGCACCAATTTGAAATTCAAATTTCAAACCAAATTTGAATTCAAACAATGGAGAAGAAAAACAAAACAGAAAAAGAAAAGAAGAAAAAGCCTCACAACCCAGCTTCACGCACAGGTCGGCCCAACCCGCGCGACCAACTACCGGCCCAGCCCTCCACTTCTCCCCCTCCGCTAGCCCACGCGCGGCTGCAAGCAGGCCTCGCCTGACCGCGCACGGCCCACGCTTCCCTTGCTGCCGCTGCCGCTGGACCCCACCCGTCAGCCTTTCCTGTTCATCTTCTCCGCCTGCGCCACAACTGCCGTGCGACCGGGGCCGACAACGCTGGCAGGAGCGGGCCAGGGGGTCACGCCCGGGGCATGGCCTTGCTCCCCCTTGCGCCGCGTCCACGCAACCTCGTGCCACCGTCGGATGCATTGCACGCGCCTCCACCGCACTATGCCGTCCGCCATTGGAGCTTGGTGCTTTGGCTATAAAAGCCCCGGCCCTGGTTGCCCGGGAGATCGTCCCATCGCCCCGCCGCCACCTTGGTGGCCGTCCACAGCACACCCGAGCCAAGAGAGAAGAGGGGGAAGAGGAAGAAGGGAGAGTGTCGAAGCCGCGCGACGTCGCCGGTGTCGCCGGAGCGAAGGACGACGACCCGATCAAGCACGTCGACGCTGCGCTACATCAGACTGCACTGCGCTGCTTCCGGAATTACACAACCGCAACCCGCCACTGCATCACCATCCTATCTTCCACGACACCAAAGGTGAGCCCCGGTTTTCCCCTGCTCGCCGCCGGACCTCACTGTGTCGGCCATGGCGCTCCACACCGTGAGCGCGTAGGCCAAGGCCGTCCCCGGCCTCTGGGTACACAAGCACAGCCCACTCACGCGCACACCCGCGACCATCTCCTAGCCCCTAGACACTATCGCTGTGCACGCGCTCGCCGCGCTCGCAACGCCGCCGTCATGGCACGGCCACCGCACGCGCATCCGGCCGCCTCGCTGGGCTAGGACGTAGCCATAGAGCATCACCGTGACGTCTGGACGATAGCCGTGTAGACCAAGACCCCGTTAGCCGACCATAGCGCTCCGGCCACGAGCACCGAACCTCGGCCGGAGTCCCGCCGTGCACCGCCACCGCTTGCGACTCCACCGTGGCCAGGACCGCTGGGAGCGCCTGGAGCTTCCTTGACTCATCCACCCTATTCACTGGAGCCACGGGAAGCTCACGCGCCCCGCCAAGCAAGCTCCCAGCCACCACTTCGCCCTATTCGTGACTCGCCGACGAGCACCGCCACGCCGATCCGCCGTTCACCGTGGCCAGAGCCCTAGGAAGCCCTAGCCATCGCCCCGACCCCACCGTCGCAGTCGCCATGGCGTGGGGGAGTTTTTCCCCTTCTCAATTGGACACTAGCGCCGCCACGGAGGCTCAACAGCGAGCTCGCCGCCGGCAAGAGCACGCCGGGGAGGAAACAGAGGATTTCTTCCTCGCCGCCCCGCACACGCCTGCACCCGGTGCACATGGACCACTCCTGAGAGAAGGGTGGACTCGGTCCACCGTAGACCTGTCTGCGGTCCATGGACCAGCGCTCCTAAGTCCACCATGGACCGTGCCTGTGAGCCAAAGCCCGTTAGTGGCCCACTAGGAGCCCAACTGCGCCACATGGCAGCGCCACAGCATGCCACATGGTGGGCCAAGCCCGGCCCAAGTCCAGCCCTGTCCAAGCCCACCAAAGCCCAGTCAAGGCCCAATCCGGTTGACCATTGACCGGTCAACGTTGACCGTTGACCAGGACCCACATGTCAGCGACACAGAGCCGCTGGACCCACTTGTTAGTGGGTGACGTTATGCTAACGTCGTGATGATGTCACGTGGGACCCACACGTCAGAAGCCGACACGGCCGAGGTGATGTCATGCTAACGTCACGGTGATGTCAGCTGCTGACGTCAGCAGCCCTGGCCCCACATGTCAGTGACCCTGACCCGTTGACCATTGACTCACCGTTGACTTGACGTTGACTTTAGCCAGACCCACATGTCAGTGACCCAAGAGCCCCTGTACCCACCTGTCGAAACTGATGACGTCATGCTGACGTCAGCTGGACCCCACCTGTCAGCTCGAAACCGAGATGATGGCGTCATGCTGACGTCACGTCAGCATACCACGTGGACCAGTCACGGCGTGACACGTGTCAGCCTAGGATTAATTCAGCCTTTTCCATTTTCAAAAATGATTTAAACTTCAGAAATTCACAACTAATTCATATGACCTTAGAAAAATACGAAACTAGGACCAAAATTCATCTAAAATCGAGCTCTACGCAATGAACCCATGTTTGAGTGCATTTGGATCTTTTGAATTTTCATTGCTTCTTTGTGCTATTCTATAGACGTCGCTAACGCGACTATAATGCGATTGTTTGCAGACTCGGAGGAGAACCGGACAAACGAGGATCATGAGTACCGTGAGGAGTACGGAGACGACTACACTGAAGGTGCCACATCCCACCCAACCTCGTAGCACCTATTACGCATGGCTAATATAGAACTACTATTGCTTTACTTTATTGTTATAATCACACTATGATATGACTTGCATGGTAGTATGCTTTCTTGATGGCCTTTACCTTGATGCAACCTTACCCCTGCTCACCCTGCTGTTAGGCTAGTCACACGCTTACTACTATATTTCATTGCTTATTACTTCTACGCTTGCACTACATTGATGCGAGGTGGAAACTGGAGTTATCTGGACTATGGGGAGAGTGCTGCGTGTGTGACTTGGGTGCGTGAAGGGTGAGGGTTGTGTCGACCAAGTTGGAGTATACGACGAGCCTGGGGCAAGTCTTGCCGTGGGGTGCTACCTGGACACCCCTGGAATGGATACCTGTGGTGGGTAAATGGTATATGAGGTGGCCCTGGGTGTGATCCTGTGATGGGAGGAGCCCAGAGTGGAGGTGCTGTGGTGGCACAGTAAATGGAAACCCTAATGAAGACATTCTGGCTTGGTCATCCCTAAGGACTTACTAGTACTCAGATTCACCGGGAAGCCTTACGTACCACTCGCCCTATATGGTGCGGGACGGCCGGACTACTTGGTAGGATATTGTCACTACTGCTAGGTTGATAGCGGACAGTGTAAGGAGGTACGGGGCGCGGAGGATTTCCCCCACACCCTTCCGAGACTTCATGGAGACCTTGTGGACCCGGCTCATGACTCACAGTTTCAGCCACCCCAGACTGAACTTGGGGTGTACCAGGGCTGAATGGTAGAGTGGCATTATCCTAGGCTAGCAAGCGGCCGGAATCAGCCCAGTTGACGACGGTCATCGAGGAAGGCGGATCTTGTGGTTATGTAAAACCTCTGCAGAGTGTATGGTTGATCGATCGATACATATGCCGATTTGTCGACTATGGATCTTTCCTGGGCTTCGCTTAAACTAGATAGTGAGATGAGTCCTTCTCTTCTTCCCCTGGGAGTGAGTGTTCGGACGTAGCCAAGGGCTACGGGCCTTGAGATAGTGCCGAGAGGGAGTTGGCCTGTTGATTGAGCGATGGTATGGGTGTGGCATGGTGATGGTGTGGAGATGATGGTATCGATCCTAGGATTGAAACCTGGCTCTAGAATGGAAATGGGATGGAATGGGTGTGAGAATGATGTTAAAACTTGACCAAGTATTATTATGAACTTGATATGCTAAAACATAGGAAACCCCAGCCTTATAGGTTCCTTTTGATTATATCCAACTTGCATCTAATTTTCACAAAACAATGCTCATAGGGTGGGAGTGGCCAGTACAAATCGTACTGACAAATTTTGACACACAGGTTCTGCTGAGGAGTATAGCTCCGAGGAGTTTGACGGTTGAGGGGTTCGTTCATATGCTCAAGTTTGGCGATCTTATCTTCAAGCTGTTCTGAATGAATGCTACTTTTGATTCCGCCAATACGGCGATGTAATAATTTATGTAATTCCGCACTATTTATACTATGATATTATCGTTGTATGGATGTGATATTCGACTGGAATTTGGGTAATATGATCTATAACGGTCTTATTACACTTCGACTCTGTGGATTTCCCTTCGCGGAAATCAGGTCGCTTCAGTTGGGTTCCCTGTGGTGAAATCTGCCCATCCGGGTTTAAGTCCCTAACTTGACACGGGTGCTCGCATTTTTCTGGATTTATTCCAAGATTTAACGGCGCTATTTTTTCGGTGGTAGGTGACGTGCCCGTCGACCGTCAATCTCAAGATTTGCCAGTCCAACTCGGTTCTTCGGAGGTGCTCATTGGGGTAGGGTGTGCGTGTGTACATTCATAGGGGTGAGTGTGCGCTCGTGTATGTGAGCGTCTGCGTCTATAACTGTGTCTCGCAAAAAAAGAAGATGAGAAGTAGATTTTCTGCTGGGCGTGCATGACCGACTACTGCAGACGGAGGATCCAGAATAGAAAGGCGGGGCACTCGTGCATTTGAAGCCAACGGAAGCTAGACCAGTTGGTCGACGATTACTGCGGCACCCCTCAGGTCATGAGTTCAAACTCCCTCGAAGATGAATTTCAGCAGACGGAGGATCTAGAATAGAAAGGCGGGGCACTTGTGCATCTGAAGCCAACGGAAGCTAGACCAGTTGGTCGACGCTTATTGCGGCACCCCTTAGGTCATGAGTTTAAACTCCCTCGGGGATGAATTTCAGGCCTAAAGGTAAAAAAATCCCCTCGTCTGTCTCACGCCAAAATACACGTCTAAAGGCCGTCCCGTCTCACGAGGATACGGTGCCGCTGTATATGGGTGGGGCCAGGGTTCGAGGATTTTCTCGATCTGCGTGAGAAGATCTTCTTCTAATGAAATAACCGGTGGGATGTTGTCCCCCGCGGATCGAGTTTTTTTTACTCGTGCATCTGAAAGACATAGCGTAAATGGGTAATTGATGTAGGCATATGACCGTGGTAGAAAAAAAGTAGGCATATGACTTTCCTCTTGTTGGTTCATTCACATGCGTCAGCTAATTTAGTGTCACGCATCAGGAATCAAGTTTTTACTGATATATTTCACTGTGTCAGTTCCCAAGTTTGTGCGACATTGTTGTGTTTGTGTCTCGATTGTTCAACAAAAGCACCCTTATCTTCCAGATCAGGACTTGATCCAGCACGCAGCAGTTTTGCGCAATTTGTATGCATTTGCCTGTTTTTTTGAACAAAGTATGCATTTGCCTGTTGCTGGCGATTGATTGTTGCATCACTGCTATAATGACATCACTTATGGACAGGAGAAACGTTAATCTTCATGAATGATCTTCAATAAGCTTATGAAACAGTTCAAACTCCCGAATCTGAACGTAACTGATCGGCACAGGCACCCTATAAAAATGGCCTAGTTCACCTCCGTATCCCAACCGAGCGAAACAGAAATCTTCAGTAGCTGCAAGCCTGCAAGCTGTGCAATTGCAAACATGAAGACGACCTGCGGCAGAATGTTGCCCGTCGTTGCCGTCCTGGTGGCGCTCGCCGTCACTGCCCACGCCGCGGCCGTCGGCCCGCCGAAGCGGAGAGGCCAGGAGATCCACCTGTTCGAGGCCACGGTCCGCGTCCCGGACAACGGCGTGGAAGACCTCGAGGAGTACAACAACCGCCTGCTCGCCAAAGTGCTCGGCAGGTTGCATGGCTCACGGATCTCTCCAAACCACCACTCCAAAGAAAACCTCCCATTTTTACCCTGTATTTTGTACTGATCCTTGTTGTGTTTTCGTGCACCTCAGCGTCGAAGCAGCACGGAGCGCAACGTATGAGAGTGAGCTTGGGCTATTCAGCGCGTTCATCACCAACAACCAGGCCCGTCGACTATCAAGTGAGCTAAATCCATACTAGTCCATGCTAATTGTTATACTACATGCAACCTACAATTTTGGATAAAAGAATTGACAACGTACATTTCAACGTATTGACGTCCATCGACACGTTCTCGAATGAGCAGAAGTCCCAGGGGTGCTGAAAGTCACACGACTGGAGGACCCTCCTGCGCTTCCGGAGACGGACGGCCATCTCTGAAAAGTTTGGTGTTAATGGAACCCAATGGGGTCGAGAATAACTGTAATCATGTTCGTTGAAATTGCATAATATATGTATTTACATGGTATGGCACTGGCACAGTAAAGCATGCCCCACTTCCTGCTCTAACAAGTGAGAACGTCAGCGTGGCTTGCTCATCATTATAGTAGAACATGAACCTCTCTGAACTTCTGAAAACCCTGTTCACCATCCTTCTTTTGCCGGGGGGATATCGGAGTCGACAGTGTGCTGCTTGCAGCGCCGGGGACCATAGTGCTCCGAGCTCTTCCGAACCACCTTCCGGCACAGCGCGCAGTAATGGACTTGGCACGCCCATTAGAAAATATGGTTGTTGTTTCCCATCTGGTCATAGTAGAAACAGCACAGCGCCACAACGTTTTCAGCTATAAAAATATCACGGTCTATATTTTCGGTTGAATAAGACTGGCATGTCTAACTTGGTATTCAGATGACAACAAATCTATTGCCCATCCAGAATCCTATTGTCTGCAAAATTAGCGACAACTTTACCTTAGGATTTTGTTGGTGACAACTCGGGCACGGATAATTTCTGACCCCGGGCGCCATTACTTCTTTCTGTATCTGCTTAACGACATCAGCCTGCCTCACTGACTTCAGCTCCTGATCACGTATACATTGCTCACTTTCGAGGATGAGCATTGTTTTCAGAAGCAGTATGAGGAGGTTAGATATGGTAGAGGACACTTAGCAAACAACACTTCGACTGGGGTCATCAGAAGTTCAGACAAGCTTACCTTTTGTGATTATATAATGGCTTGCCGCAGTCATAGCAGAACCCCTTCCCACAGTTCCTGCAAAGCATGTGGTTGCAGCCTGAGATCCTTGAGATGGCGGTACGGCAATGGGGACATGGAACAGCATCACGAAGTGCCTCGCTGATGCTGACTAGTTGATTGACCAGGTCAATTCTCTTATCAATGTTGCCTCTGCTTGAAGCACGCACCTTTTCACGATCCTGTACAGATGATTACAGCATTCAGCATGTGTCTGCGCATGGAAATCCAACATGTGTCCGCACAAGACGTGTAATGCATTTTTCTGTAGGAACCAACTAAGTTGAAGTTTTGCAATGGCAAAGAGGGCAGAGAAATAAGCTTTGATTACTTGAGCAAAAATTATGTCTACACAGATTCTGAAGATCCACAGATATTATCTTTGATGAAATACCTAATAAGAGCATATAATGGCACCACTAAAATCCTAGGAAGTTGCGTTCAAAATTGGATCTGACAGTGAACAATCACAACTGAACAGTGACTGAAAAGGCTAGTGTTTAGCATGATTTCATATCGCATAGCTTAGTAGATTTATTTGCTACCTGTAAGGATAGAAGCTTTTCTTCTGGAGTCATGCATCTATCACCTATGTGACGACGTTCGCGGAAGTGGGTGGAGAAGGTGAAGAAGCACTTGGAGCACTGGGCATTATTCTGCTCATCCTCCAGGCAAGCTGTTTCACATCTTGGGCAGTAAGTCGCATCAGCCATCGAGTCTAGAGTCCTCTCAAGTATCAATCTTTCCCAGCGTTTGAAATCTTCATCTCCTAACAACCTCTTCAATAGATTAGGAGGAATAACACCCTGGTACTTTGTAACAACCCGGGTTTACGAGCATCCAAAAATACAAGCTTTTTAAAAAATTTCCTGCAAATGTGTGAAGCATGTAATCGCTAGGTCAGCCTTAGTCAAATCTAGGAGAGCTTACCAATAATTTGTTGCATTCATATAGACCTTGATTGCAGGTGCATGCTTTGTTCTTAAAGTTGGTTCTGGTTTTGAGTTCGTTTGGAGTGCACAAAAGGAAAAAAAACCTTTTTTTTTTTTCCTTCACAACCAGCCCACCCCCTCCTTCCTTTGGGCTAGCTGCCCATCTCCTCTCCCAGCCGGCCCACCCGGCCCCTCCTTTCCCTCACACAGGCCCGCTCATCTCTTCCCGCCGCGTGGCCCAGCTCGCGCCCCCGGCCCATCCCAGCCGCAGGCCTGGCGCCCCTCCCTTCTCTCCCCAGCTGGCCTACCTCTTCTCCACTCCGCTCGGCCCATGCAGACAGTACGCGCACGAAGCCCAGCAGCGCAACCCACAGACTAGCTCAACCCGCAGGCCCCCGCTGGCCCATCCCGCCCACGTGAAGCCCACCTGGCCCAGTCGCACGCCCCTACGTCCAACCCTAGGGAGCGGATGCGCTCCCCAGGAGCCGCCGCCGCCTGGAAACGGCGCCCCCTCCCTACGTTGCCAACGTGGCGCCCCACCAGTGGCCGGTCAGCCCTCGCCACGGATCGGTGAGTTGGCCCCGTCGGTTGTGCTTTCTCCGTCCCTATGACAGCCGGGCCCCACCCCACGTCAGCACGCCCACTGGACCGGGACCGGAAAGCGGACACCGCGTCCACGGCTTGGGAAACGACCTCGACGCTGCTAGCCTACCTCGGTGTCCGTACCCCTAGTGCCGCATTCGACGCCGTGTGTCTTGGCTGTCACATCAGACAGACGCGACGCCGGGACGATCGCCCGAACCCTAGAGGCGGCGCCTATAAGTACCACAGCCGCCACCGTCGCTCCCTTCTCTTCCCCCTGTTCGCCTGACGCCGCCGCTCCACCTCTGCTCCTCCATCCCACCGTCGCGATGCCCGGCGTTCCCCTTGACCCCATCCACGTATGTGCCGGCCAGGAGCCTGCTCGCCACGCCGGAGCAGCACCACAACACCGCCACCTCCCCTGTGAACCATCTCGCTATGACGTGACATCGCCCATGCACACCACCTCGTGATGCCGTGACCTCTCCATCACGACCATAACGTTGACCTGGCCAAGCAGCTCAACCTCGACCACTGGAGCCGCGACGTCGAGCACGTCGCTTAGGACCGCGCGTCGCCGCCACGACCCCGACGCGCTGGTTCCCCGATGCTTGGAGCCACCTCTACCTCGACGTCCCTGACCTCCATCTCCGCGACGAGCACCGGCACCGCGAGCCGCTCCAAGCCGAACCGTGTCCACGCCAGGAGCCGCGACATCGAGCCCCTACTCCAACCTCGTCGAGCCCGTGACCCCAACCACCGACGTCGTCCGCGACCAGCACCTCAATGTGCCCCTGCCCAACCCTGCGACGTCGAGTCCATGTAGGATCTCTAGTTGGCCTAGAGGGGGTGAATAGGCCTATCAAAGTAAACACTCAAACTTTTATCAAATTCACCCTACAGCACTACCGCTCTGGTGGGCGGCACTGTCGGACTACAACACTTATGGACCAGAACAGCGGCACTGCCGCACCTACAGACAACTTTGAGTCACAGTTCAAAATCAGTGAATGGAAACTTAGATCGGAGAAATTTCTTAGCCTACTGCAGGTATGATAGTCACAGATCAAGAGCTAGAAGTTATAGGAACACCACACACAAGTAGATCGACTAGAAACCCTAGAAATCACCTCAACCAATAATGTGAAATGCAAGTAATGTAAATCAAGCACAAGTGACACAATGATTTATCCTGTAGTTTGGCTCGCCACCAAGGCTTGCCTACCTCCACGTTGTTGAGATTATCCACTAAGGCTTAAAGCTTTCCAACCCTTACTCGTTCTCAAGTCAAGAGACTTAACTCTTGAGATAAGGGGTGAGTATACTAGCTTCAAAAGATGGTTACAAACCTCTCAGGCTTGCCACACAAGTTGGCAAGCTCCACGGGCGACGCTCTAGCCGGCTAGGAGCCAAGCTCCAAGAGTAACAAACACAATCGTTGGCCAAAACGTGAATCAAGTGCTCTTTTGAGTTGAGGAATCAATGGAGCTACTTTCTAATTGAGTTTTGGACACTTTTCTCTCAAGGATTGATGGGAAATCAATGGATTTACTTTATGGCTCATGGTCACTAATAGAGGGAGAGAGAGAGCTCCTTTTTCTGTTTTAGATGAGCTGGAATGAGTAGAAGGAAGAAGAGAGCCATTGGGGAGAAAGAGGATGGGTATAAATATCCCCTCGGCCCCAATGGTCACTTAAGTCACGGCAGTGCCGCAGCTTAAGTGTAGCAGTGCCTCTTTTCAAGTGCGGCAGTGCCGCACCAGTCAAGACAGCAAGGGTAAGAGTGAAGTTTAGGTTGTCTTGGCTGTGAATCTGAGGATGCATATGTATGTTTGAGCACTTGGTAGCACATATTAGCTTAAGCATTGTGTCCTCCTTTATAGTATGACTTTTCCTATACTCAAATTCAAAATATAAAAGAATTTAAACCTCCTTTAAGTTTGAAGCCATCAACATTTGTAATTGGGGGCTCCTTCATTTCGTGTAGCATCCTCGAATATAAATTTCTTGCTTGTCATCTCGATAAATCTCATTAGTTCTCTAATTGCATGGTCATTATCACCAAAACCCACAACTAGGGCTTGATTGCACTTTCAATCTCTCCCTTTTTGGTGATTGATGATAACCCAATTAGAGCTTACATAAGATATGAAATAAATACTGAGATTTTTTGAGCCATGGGTGTAGAGCCTCCTCCTAAATGTGTGAATAGAGAATTGAATTATCAAATTGGCATAAAAAGCCAAGATTCACATTTTAGTGAAAGTGATCCATGCTCATGTGGGGTGCTGCATACTGTGTCAGGTATATAAAACGTGATGCGAATGACAGTTTATGTACAATATGTTTTGCTGTTACAGCTGGGTGTGGCATTGTCGCACCAGAGTGCGGCACTGCCGCACTTGCTGTAACAGCACAGATCATAACAGACACCACACAGCATGTGATACATATGAAGATATATATTCTAGCATAATTATATCACAAGCGAC